AATGCTACATGGCCAGCAGAAAAGCCAGCGGAAAAGGGCGGACACCAGCAGTGACCAACCTTGGAAACAAATGAATAGAAATGTTGCATCGCCAGCGGAAAAGGGCGGACACCGCAAGCGACAGACCTGGGAGACAAATGATGAATAGAACCAGCGGAAAAGGGCGGGCCGGCAGTGACAGACCTGGGAGACAAATGAAGAGAAAGGTTGCATGGCCAACGGAAAAGGGCGGACACCACCAATGACAGACCTGGGAGACAAATGACTTAAGGCCAGGGGAGGAGGTCGAAAGCTAGCCGAATTGCACCGGATGTACTAGTTACATAGTCGGCAAAGCATGTAGTGATTACATGTTTTGGGAGAAAGGTTGCTACGTACACACTTTGCGCTGAAGAATGTATATGTGACATCGCCGACTGGGAAGGGTACATTGGAACAACACGGGCGCACTCGTTGGCAGGCACGAAGGGGGGTAAATTTACCCCCTGCTTTTGTATGCCTTGAGTCGAAAAGAGGGGTAAGCATTTCTGACATCACACGGACTGTACATACACTGGGCATCCGTAGTGTAGGAGAAGCACGGGTAAAGGGTATATGGAATATAGTGTGTCTTGAGGAAATAGCCGGCTTATGGTTATTGCAATTCTGGTGGTTAAATGTTTAAATTTACCCACCGCTTATGTATGCCTTGTGCCGGAAAGAGGGGTAAGCATTTCTGGATATTTCTGGCATCACAAGGACTGTGCATACACTAGGGCGTCCGCAGTGTAGGATAAGCACTGGTAAAAGGTATAAGGAGTAGAGTGTCTTGAGGAAATAGCCGGCTTATGGTTATGGCAACTCTGGGGGGTAAATTTACCCCCCGCTTATGCATGCATTAGGTTAGAAATAGGGGTACAGAACTTGTAACAGTGAAGTACAAGTCCTATGCAGCAAGCAGCAGCCAGCAGCAGCAGCAACCGCCAGCAGCCAGCAGCCGGCAGCCAGCAGCAACCACCAACCAGCAGCCAGCCAGCAGCAGCACCACCAGCAGCAAGCAGCAAGCAGCAGCAAGCAGCAGCAAGCAGCAGCAGCAGCAGCGGTGTCGTCAGCAACAGCAGCAGCAGCACCAAGTAGCAAAGCAGCAGCTACAAAAGCGGCAACCAGCGGCAGCAGCAAACAGCAGCAGCAAGCAGCAGAGCGGCAGCAGCAGCACCGTTTGCAACAAGCCACCGTTTACACCCAACCAACCACGTTCACACGTTCAACCAACCTCCGCTACACGGCGCAGCTGGGAATCGAACCGTGGGGGGGAGGGGGGAGGGGAGGGGGGGTGGTTAGTGTGATATATCAAGCTTTAAGGCACACAGCTCATCCCACTACCAATTGCTAAAGCAAAGAAGAACTCAGCTAGCATGCTAGCTTTCGTGAATAGAAATGCTACATGGCCAGCGGAAAAGGGCGGACACCAGCAGTGACAGACCTGGGAGACAAACGAATAGAAATGCTACGTGGCCAGCGGAAAAGGGCGGACACCAGCGTGACAGACCTGGGAAACAA